AGGTGTGTTTGCGTGTGCGTCAGTGAGGGTAAACACTCATAAAAAATATGGACCGGAGTCCTCTGTCTCGAACACGCGGTGCATGCTTGAAGCACGTGGGGGGAGGGTGTGCCACACACACACACTCACACTGTCTGCACGGCGGAGGCCCACCTGGGGAGTAGGCTGCCTGCACTTGCCCCCACCCCTCACTGCGACAGCAGCATGCTGGGCCACATTCCGCTTGCAGCACACAATAAGTCCCTCCCGCTGCTGCCCGAGCCTGCGCCCGAGCCTGCGCCTGGCGGGCTGGGCCAGTCCCGACTTCGACTTCCAAAAGGCCAGGAAGAGCGGCGGGGCGGCGGCTGGGACGAACGCCCCCTCGAGATGGGATTGCCGTGGCCCCCAACTCTGCACCCCTCGCCTCGCTTAGTGGTATTGTTCTGGAAGAACTGACTTTGGATATTAAACTGCAGGGCACAGTGGGTGGGGTAGTGAGGGACACGCGGGGCTGGATGTGGAGCTCTGTTCAGGGCCACGAGTGTGAGTGTGTGGAGGGAGGGGGGAGTCTTATCCATTCCAACTACTTGTTTTAATCTCGCGTGTCGCCACGGGGGTGCGGCACGAAAAAGAGGAGCTGACCGTCAGAACTAAATATTGGTTCATTTCGGGACAATCGATCTAATATTCACTGTAGTAAGACTAATACTAAGTTGTGGCAGCAGGAGCCAGTTAGTGGTTCGAAGTTTCGTCTGTAGAAAAAAACGCGTTGTATCGACGACCTATCCTGGCAACTGACTCTTGGCTCTAAGAGCTTATTTTCAGTCATTTTGTTCACAATTCTGCACACAGAAACAGAATCCATACAGATAGTCCTGTTCTTTCCTACTACTGTCAAAATCTGTTGGACTGGTGTGTTTTAGAGACAAAGACTTGACCGTGACCGTGCTTGAAAAGAACTTTCCTCCAGTATAAGGTATAGTCCAGCCTTCAGGATCACATTGTTAAAATTACCAGACCATTCTGCTGGGATTTACTGTTGAAATATTTAACAGTGCACTACAGTGAATCTTAGATCAACTGTCCCGAAATTAACCAATAACATTTAGTTCTGACGACCAATTCCTCTTACCGCGTGGGGTGTTGGTCCGCTTTCCCACTGCAGCGGGCATGCTTTTGCTGGTGGGGGTTAATTTCGCTAGTTTCGTCTCAGATCTTCATGTTGCACTGCAGCGCAGCGGGAGGCTGCACCGCCAGCCGCTGCACCTCATGATTCACCCGACAATGCGGGCTAACTTCGCTGTGGGTCGCGGCGAGAGTGCGTCGTGGTTCTAGTTGTGCCTCCCAGCCCCTGTTCTCTACGCCTACACATCACACTGCCGACCGCGGCCTCAGTGTAGCAATCTGCAGTTAACAAGCGGCTGGGGCGCTGGGCGCGCCCTCGAGGTCCACGATAGGCAACCTCCTGCGCGCTGCTGTGGTGTCGATCGCCTACTCACCGTGCGTTGATTGCCTCTTGTTGCTGGACCCTAATTGCCCTTCCTCTCTTTTTTGCTTTCAGACGCTGTCACGTGCTATACTTGTGTCAACGTGTCCGACAACATCATTTGCAATAAGTACGCCATCGACGTCCCCTGCCCTAAAGGTAAGCCCGACGGTATGGAGTTATTGATGGTAACTGTCACCGAACCATTGCACAAAATTGTTCACATCAAAAGATCGAACCTCGTCAAGAAATGTGAGAGCGTGGTCCCCAGCCGCATCCCCAAAAAATGTGTTCTCAATTCAAGTGTCGTACTTTAAATTTTGAGCCCCATCACTGCAAATATATGGAGTGAAAACACTGACCGAAAAAAAGTGAGATTTTTTCTCCTTGTTCCATTTAAGTAATGATTTAAAAACCTCGCTCTTATTGAAAATGACTCTTAAATATCACTCGAATCAAGAGAGATTTGGAGAGATAAACTTCAGAAATACTCACTCAAAATGAGCGAGGTTTCCCAATTATCACTCTAATACAGTGACATTCCTTAATCCTTAATTACTCTAATCGAGCGAGGAAATCAAACCTCGCTCTCCTGCGAGCGAGGAAATTCGGGGCAAATTCTCGCTCTCGGAGAGCATGAAATCCCAGCTCTACGATTTCTAGTTATTTCTTGTTTTAAGTAACAGACAGGACTTAAAACAAGAAATGGGGCTAAAATTTATAAGTAGGATGCTTGAACTGAAGACACATTTTTGGGGGTGCGCTCTCTGCTCCTCTGTCCTTTAACTCCCGTCCCTCTCGCACCTCTCGCCTCCCTCTTATTTACCCTCTTTCCCCCTTCCTCCTCGTGTCCGATGCACGCAGCACAAGCCCGCCAACTCATGGCGAGGACGTGCATCTCTTTCTGGCACCGAGCCTATTGTGGTGTTGACCCAGAGACATAAATATCGGAAACGCCGCACCCTCCCACGGCTGGCGTTTATTTCTTGTTTCCTTTTCCCCTCTGCGACCTCATCGCCCTGCCTGCCTCCACTCACGCTGCCTCCTCTTTTCCTATCCATCGCCTCTCTTGCAGACCACCAGCCACCCCCATGCCCATGCACCCTCGTCTAGTCCACTGCTGATCGCTGCCGATCCAATCTTCTCTCTCTTTTCTCCCTGTCGCTGTCTCCCTCCTCTCTCCTTTCTCTCGATCTCTTCCCCCCTTCCCCTCTCTCCCATCCACAGCCACACTGGTAAACATTATTGAATCTATTTACGAATTCTTTTTGATGATATTCTGTTTCCCTGACAAGTGTTTCGTATTAATTCTACACAACAAATTTGCTTTGTAATGCATAATTGTTTAGTTTGTATGTATTTAAAGAAAAGGAGCGGCCACAACTCACTCATGATACTATCTTTCGTGTTTCTTCTTTTGTAACATATGAACAGTTGTTTTATTTTTATTCCGTTTCCATAGTTATTTCACTGTACTTCCACATCCTTCCCGAGCCACTCTTTGCCTCGTGATGTCGCCAATGTTGTTTCTTTTACTTTTATTTGCGGTTTCATATTTTGTTACACCACACACTACGCGACTCGTCCTTTACTCTTCTTCAATATCCTCCTCCCCCTCCTGCTCCCCCTTCCCGTTTCGCTTTCTCCACCTTATTTCCCATCCCGCCCTCGCCATGTGGCCCTCGCGAATTCGTCTCAGATATCTTTCCTCTCTCCCTCAACACACGGCGCTATCATCGCTGGCCTACATGTCCTTGCTAGGTGCACCACGCCGCACAGGACATCGGAAGTCGATGGTGATGAAGGGTATCGTAGCCGGGTGGTCTCATCGGATTATCGCTAAGCGTTAAGGACATTAACGGCTCACTGGGAGAAATAACGTCGTAAAATTACGAGATTTTTTGTAATTAATATTAACAAAATACGTTGTAAATTCATGACACCCTAAACTTGCTCATCGATGAATTCCAAGTCGATACAACGTGCTTTTGGTTGTACAATTTTGAATTGTCATCTGACGACACGCACCAATAAAACTGTTCCTGTAAAACTTACGTCTTTTTTTCACAGTGCTCGCGTTATAATAAGCCCTGTATATCCCTCTGGCCTGACCAGCCCACTATAGGCTTGTTTATAGTCACATATCAAAACACAAACATTCCGCTGGTTACAAAGTAGTGGCCTTTTTGTTTGTGTCCGTGTGGGGGAATCTGTATGAAAATGAGAGTTGTTATTTTCGCGGTCAGGCAAACGCAGTGTGCCCACGCGAGCTACTCCACTGCAAACATTAAAGATCAACACTGCCAAACCAAGTGTTAATACGTCTGTTAAACGCCTTAACACGTTCAACCGTTTGCGAATAGAAATTGGATCGAATTTAGCCTCGGAGGGAACTCGGCTGTCCGGCAGATGGCTGCCCGCAGTAGCTAACAGTTTAACGGACCTGCCTTATATTAATCTCAAGTACAGGTGCGATACTTTTTCTCGGAGCATTTTGTGTTCTGACTCATCTTGTTATGGGTGAATGTGGGTGTCACTATTGATGCTCCGTTATTGATCAACACTGCTGCATGTCGCAGTTGCGTTCTATCAGGTGGACGCCCGCTGCCCCCCCCCCCCAAACAAATGAACAAATGTATGTGCAGAGACAACACTGGCAAACACGCTCAAGCTGCGAACTGACCCAGCCGATAACTCAAACATCGAGATGCAATAACGAACGTGCTAATGCGTATTACTCAGCCAGCTGCACTGCTCATTTTCGTGTGGCGTTTTGATGCTCGAGCTTCAGCTATTCATAAAAGCACAATCTTTTTGTAGTAAAAATCGGTCTATTGAGAAATCTTTTTTTATTTTGAATAAATATAGGATCGGGGCAGACGTGAACAGCCCAAGCGAATGTCAGCGAGCCTGCTTGACCGATAAACACTTGTTTGTGTCTGACTTGGAACTTGCGTTAGACGCACTCACCGTAGAATGTAATCGATCTTCCTTACCCGTTGACCTTTTCTTGGCTCACCAGTGAATGTGACCCCACAATTGGGGTTTCACCGAAATGTAGGTTTTTTGCAGGTATGGTCTTTTATCGTGTGCAGTCTGGTCAAGTTTTCTGACCCTCTTATCGCCCTATAAGCATTGTAATTCCAATTTCACACACTGTATTTTCAAATAAAATTTGTTTCTGAACTACTGTAAGTGCCTGAGAAATCGTTCACATTAAAATTAGAAGTGAGAAATGTAACAATGAAAGTTCGCACTTGGTACATCCTTAAGGATAACTCTATGACATTCTAAGTCGAAAGACTGGACCAGTCGAAAGACTGGACCAGTCGAAAGACTGGACCAGTCGAAAGACTGGACCAGTCGAAAGACTGTAGACCAGTTGATAGACCAAAAAAAAGCGTATGAAGGTTAAGGCTATCAGTTAGAATAAGTAATCGCTTTTTTCTACATTCAAACTCAGAATAATAGGGTGGGAATAGTTTATCAGCTAGGTTCAGTAGTTGTCTTGCTGTGCTGTACGAAATTAGTACTTCAACAATATTCCTTGTTTGCGAGGCTCGATTTGTGTTGAAATCTATTGGCTCGCTGTAATGGACACCGTGAAGCTATTCCAGGCTGCAGCTGATGAAGCGAAATAGTGCAATCTTCGGGATAATAGAGTAATCTGTTAGCTACTCCGCGTTTCAAATTTCGTTTATCACGTCAATAGGGCCACATACACAGTTTTTAGTTCCTTTGCAATTGGGGTTAAATTTTATATGGTTCACGTGGTGTGGTACGCACATATGAGTGTAAGCGGCGATTAAGAGAGGAAAAGAGGGTAAATCGGTGGAGAGGGTGGAGAACGCGATGAAGGGGGGCAGGGAAGGGAGGAGACGGGTTCCCACTGGCTGTCGGTCCAGTGAAAAATGGACGAGACAAACCGGGATGGGGTGTCGAATTAGTCAGAGATGGTGCACCTGGGAACAATCCGAACCCTGCGATGGCTACAAAGCCACCACCGCGACGCTCATTGCTCCTATTGCAATCCTTTTTTTTGCGGTGCTCTTGAACCTAGGTCACCGCTTCACACATATCGGCAGGCAAAGGTCCATTTCCATGATCCATTTGATGTTGCGAGCATACCGTTCCGTTCTTCTCCCTTTGCCCACATGCAGCTTAAAACAACTCGGCAGAAAAATAACGGATGAACAGGAGTCGAGGGGGTAGAGGCTGGAATGGGGGGAGGGGGGCGCTTTTCACTGAGCGAAATGAGGTGGTCAAAATGCATGCGTTCTCCGCGCTGTTGTGCACGGCGGGGTGAAAGCAGGCAGGGGACTGACCCCGGCGCGCCGCGCCACGCCACGTCAGCTGTGATGAGGGGCACTGTGGCGCACTACATCCAGGGGCACGGGAGAGAGCAGGACAGAATGAGAATGAGAGAGATGGCGCTATTGTCTGCTACGCCAGGCTCGAGTAATGAAAACTGTGTTTGTGCTCCAGCGGGGCGCTCGAGGGATGAGGAGGGCGATAGGGGGGAGGCTCCGCGGGGGCCGCGCGCCCTCAGCCAAGGCGCCGCCGAATGTAATGAAAACTATGTAACGAAGGCACGTTGTCCCAGTACATCACACAACGCGCGCCGCCGAGCCGCTGCGCCGGCGGATTCACCAATGCTGTGCCGGCACCACTTTCTTCAGTCCGGTTGAACGACTGCATTCAACGCATGTATCTCATTCGGACTGACCTGAGCTCTCAACTGTTTTTTCGCGTACCGCACATCGATCCTGAATTTGCCATAAGAGGTGCTACTGCTTGAGATGGGGAGTCAGGATATGTGTTGTAAAAGAACGTAGCGCCTCTCAGTCGCTCACAAATCGCGTGACGGACGGACATTTTTGACCATTTCTCCTGGAATTGCCACATGATGAAACCCGGTAACAGCGGATCTGTTCCACCGTACCATTTTACCCCATTCCCCCTTTCTCTCGCAAACGGCCTACGCAGTCATGTGGAATGTGGGTTCTATTGCCCCACAGAGGCCCACCATGCTGTGCTGTCTGCGGCTATCTGTATATGGTGGGCAATCGTATCAAAGATGTGAATGCGATGTAGTAGTAAATAACTGAATCATTTGTAAGAGGAGGGGCACAGGGAAGATGGTTGGGGTTGTGAGAGCTCCGCTGTTTTGGGAAGTCCCATAGAACACTGTATTCCGTAAAAGAACGTAATAGACCCTTTACGCATGAATTGCAGCTCCTATTTTGCCACCTCGACATAAAATGAAACACTGTTAAAACTAATCGGGATATACCCCGAATCTTCTTGATTAACTTATTTTCGAAATTCACGCCGACTTGTTTTACATCTAAGTTTGATATTCTAAGTATCGTTAACGAGGGCCTAATATAAGGCGCCCATGAGTTACAAGCTGAATTTTGCTATAGTCATTGTCAACTTTCGAACGCACGATTTTCTGGGATCGACGGAATTTTGACTATGCTGCACTACTGAAAGGCGTCGGGAAAACTCAGAATTCTTACTTTTGCAATTTTGTTTCGTGCCTACTACAACAGCCAATTGTAAGGTTTGTGTTTTTTTTGTGAAGTGAAGCAATACTGTTCCAGGCAAATACACTAGCAAGATATTTTCCTTCCGAAACTATTAGCGTTTAATTGTTTTCGCGCATTTGCTTCTGCCATTTTCGTATTTTTTTTAAAGTACCTCAATGCCCACAAACGTTAATCCTTATGAAAGATTCTCTGGCGATAGCTGCGGAACTCTAGTGTGTTTGTCGAGGTGAGGGCACACAAGTGTGAAAGTAGAGGCATTCGAGTAGAAAAGGTGTGTGTGTGGGGGGGGGGGGGCACCGACCGGCCAGTAAACAAGTAGGGAATCGAACCTAGTGGATTAGCAGGTTGTCGGGCTGAGTTGATTAATCAGTTTGGCCCTTGGACGTCCAGTCTCTGGCCTGGCACTCCTCGCTCCCCTCCCTCTCAGTGTTGCTCCTTGTGCTTTTCCTCCTTCCCCCTCCCTTCCATTTCCTGTCCCGTTTCCGTGCGTCTTATTTTCTCCCGCCCAGTAATTGCTCTCTCGCCTCCCTCTCTGCCTCTCGTCTCCCCTCTCCATCTCTGTCGCTCCCAGTCAGCTGGCACATCTCTCTGCGACGCAACGGGCACCCCTTTCCCTGAAGTACTCTTCTTGACCTCTAAGTGATCTAGGCCGTGGCCTGGTCAGTGGTCAGCAACACGTGCTTAGACGTTTTGACTTTTTCTGCGCCACCTTTCAATTTGTCGCGTTTTGTCG